TATGGGTGTGAGAGGCAAATGTCAGAGAAGGCTCCAAAGTAGTATCTGCATGACTAGGGAAATAGTTTTTAATAAATGCCACAGGGAGACATGGAGCGAGCTGGGGACAAGTTTGCAGGAGTTTTGTTCATGAAGTCTGAGAGTCATCACGTGGGACTTCAACGTGGAAATGTCAAGAAGGCAGCTGAGAATGGAGTCTGGAGTTAGGGAGAGTGTGGGGCAGGAGAGAGAATTGTAGAATTGTTGGTGATCTCACCAAGGAAGTGAGGGACGACAGAGGATGCCAGGCAGAACCTGAGCCTAGAGGCAGGGGGACAAGGACACACAGGAAAGAGGGCAGCATAAAGCAGGGGTCCAAAGAGCACTACCATCATGATGCTCTGACTGCAAGAGGACCACATCTGTGAGGCCTGAGGATGTGGGACTGTCCTGTTCCAGGACCGTACGAGGACAGCACAGATTGAGCACTGCTGTGCTCAGCTCTTGTCAGTGGCTCAACCTTTTTGCTCTGAGCCCTCTTATCAGGGATTTGTCCCTATATGGTAGGGGAGAAAATGGTGGACCGAGAAAGGACAGGGTCCTACAAGTCTATGTTAAGGCAAGAAGAGAGGACAGCTCTTACAGGTGGAGAGTGGGCAGCGATGAGCATTCACTGGGCACTTGAGGCTGCAGGTTCCATCGTCCTCACTTTACAGGTCAATAAATGGGGGCTGAGAGAGGCAAAACCATCTGCCCAAGGCCTGGTCAGGCTCACAAGTCAGGCTTCTCTGAGTCCAAAGTCCACCTTTCTATCTGCAGCAGATTGGCCCAACCTCCAGCCATCCACCGCAGCATCAGGACCACTGAATGAAAACACACTTGCCTTCAGAACGCAGAGGAGGAGGGGCGCGGGGGAAGAGGCAGTGTGAAAAGAATCAGGACGCATCACGTACACGCAGCAGCTGCCCACAAAGAGTGTACTCATTACATAACTCCGACATGCACTAACAGAAACGTACAGTGAATCGGCAACACTTTACAATGAATACTACTTTTAAGGCAAGAAGAGTGTGTACATTTACTGAAAAAAGATAATATACAGTTTCAGGTAAATCTTGTGTGTGTGCTTGAGAGATTACAGTTATCCTTTCTGGCAGACCAGGGACCTCTAGCCCAGCTGTCCGTTCTCACTCCTGACTCGTCTTCTCCCCCTGGCAACTTTCCTGTTAAGCAGCAGTGCAAATGACCCCCCAGCTCTCATCCTGCATTTTTATGGGAGCCCCTCAGCCTCACAGGTCTCCCTGCGCTGGTCATTGCCTTCCCTTTTTAGTTGCTCTTCAGCCAGAAGACGCAGGAATACTCTGCAAACAGTCAGACTGGGCGCCCCCTCCCAGGACCCCTCCATCACTTTCTGTCATACCCGAAGTAAAGGCCCTGGATGATCAGAGCCACTCACAGCCCTCAGCGCCTCCCCTCTGCACTTCACACACTGCTGTGTCTGCTCTGGCCTCCTCGCTGTCCCACAAACCTGGCACCCATTCATCTGCCTCAAGGCCTCGCATGTGCCCTCCCCTGCAGCAGTCGTCTCCTGACATCCACGTGGCTGGTTCTCCCACGAGCCAGACCTCCCCAGACCTCCGAGTGCCCTTTCAGGTAGCAATACCCGCTCCCCTCCTTCGCTGCTTTCCTGGCTCTCCCTGGCATTTGTGCTCCAAGGGGCTGCCTAGTTCACTCATTCACCCATTTCTTTCCTAGCTCCGTGCGCCCCACTGAGATAAATGTGAGCTCCAGGAGGGCCAGTTGAGCATCAGTTCTGTCACTGCAGATACTGCGCCTCTAGATGGTGGTGGGCCCAGAGCAGCCCTCCCATAATACTTGTGTAATAATTAACCTGAAATTAGGTGATGCATGGTACAGGGACAAAAGGAGGAAGATCTGTCCATTGGGTCTTTCACCTTTTGCTTCAGCTCAAAGCAGACAGATGTGAGAGGTGCCAGAAGCAGGGAGCAGGGTGGCTCCTGGAGGGGGGATGTGCTCAAGCGAGGATCTGGATGTGGCCGGATTAACGCTGCGGACAAAGGCAGCGCCGCCTCTAACCGCAACCCAAGCCTCAAAGGCCAAGGCCACGTGCCCTCGGAGGAGGCCATCGCCAGCCTCTAATCCCTGCCACGCCTGCAAAGCGTGCTTTGGTCTGCAGGTGCATTTGCCGAGAGGTCGTGAGCTTCCAACAGCCCACCTGCAGCAGTCGCCAAGGGCCACAGGGAAAAGTGGAGCCTCTGGGCAGGAGGCAGGAGAAAGTAATTTGCCCACTATCAGAAATGTGAAGGCGGGCAATGGGGCCTCGCAGTCCACACCTTGGCAGGGAATGAAAATTACCATTCTGAGAGGCCATTTCTGAATAGAAGGGCACTAATGGCTGTTTGTCAGGGGGTAGCAGTTGCTGAAAGATGATTAGGAAGTCGTGTGGGCCCCTGCACTAGACCTGCCTCCTGGTCTTTCTCACCCAAGCTGTCTCTCCCCTTCATCCCGGTTCCGGTGCCCAAAGCAGCCCTGAACACAGTTTAGTTTGCCTAAGTGGCCTCCTCCTTCAGCTTCCCCTCCAGTGGCGACAGCAGTGGGAGGAGCTGCGGAAGCCTTGGCTTCCTGTTCACCAATTGCATCTCCGACCAGCAGAGGGCAGCAGCAGCCCAGGGAAGGCCCGGAGGCCCAGGACCACGGAAGAGAGCCCAGGTGATCTCTTTCTTCCACAGATAGAAGAGAAGCCAAAGGAGGGACCAAGCAAGTGGGGCCCAAACCTATGCTCCCTCTGCAAAATTCAACCTTTTATTTCTTCAAAATGTTTCACCTGAAACTCTGGCCAAAGTGCTGAGGCTGCTTCTTTTTCCACTACTGCTGCAGATTAAAATAAAACATGCACAACCTTACGCCTGGGGGTGATCTTTAATTTCCCATGCCGTTCTGTTTAGAGGTACAGAAAACCCAGAAATTACTGTACTAAGTACACACTCTGCGCTCAGCTGTATAACCTCACAGCAAGCAACCCCGAGTTTGGCACCATCATAGTTTCACCGTATACATGAGATGTCAAACACTAAATAGAACTGAGGCCTCAAGAAATTGTTCTGTTACACAGAAGATCTCAGCCTGTTGGATCCGTCAGGGCTGTGCTGGGCAGCCAGATCTAGGTTTGCATCCCCCAGACACTGCTGAGCGGCGTCGGCAAGATGCTTCAGGACTTTATACTTGCTTTTCTCGTTTACAGAAGTTTATAAAAGAGAAGTAATCCTGGAATCAAAACCCTGGGATTGAGGAGTGGAGGAGTCATCCAGGTGGGGACAGTGCCGCTCACACTCACCACTGCTGGCCCCTTACCCTTTCCAGGGTAACCGGGGTCACATTTGACTTGGCCTGGTGTCTGCTGGGCAGCCCTCCTCTCCTTCAATCTCAGTGCTGCAATTACATTGTAAATCAAGAAGTCAGAAGGGCTCTACCTAGCATATACTTACTCAAAGGTCAGGTTCCTCTCACTATTCCTCAGCAACTCAGTTAAAGTTCAGCTGCATATCATCAAAATTCTCCCCTCCAAAAATTTGCTAGAAGCTTATGTCTTTCACACGCAAAAAAAAAAAAAAAAAAAAAAATCAGGAGGTTGTTGAAATGGGGTTGGTGCAATAGATTCAAGAAATCTTGAGGAAGTTAGGGTTCTTCTACCAACATCAACCCATGTCTGCTACTTCATGATCCAATGTGGTTGCTGAGCGCCAGCCATCAGTTCCACAGTTCATGGCAGCCTGGTGTAACATTGTTACAAAGGAATCTAGGAAATTTTAGAAAGTAGGATTTGGTGATAGGTTCACTATGAATGTGTGGCAATATGAGCCAAAAGTGGCTGATATGCAAGCCAAGTGAATATTGTTCCCATCTTCTGAGACAGCAACAGTGGTCCCAATGTCAATAAGTGGTGGACAGTGAGAATCACAGTGTGTATAAAAATACCAGTACTGTGAGTGAGGCATGCCGGAAGGGCGCTTCCTAGCCCAGCCTGATGACAGAAATGCATTAACAGGGTGTGGGGAAATCAACTAAATCTAGACAAGCCTGCATTCAGAGCTGCCATCTTGAATTTCAGGTGAACATTTGTTTTGTACTTTAGGCTGTGTGACTGTGGATGGTGGTGCTTCTGAATCACAGGACTAGAAAGATCAAAAGTGAATATATCCCCCTAGTACTTCAAGGTTGTGAAGAGCTGTCACTCCACATATGCACTAAGAAAATACAACACAACCCAGCAGGACACACCATGCTTACTAAGATCTCCCAGTGTGTGCCAGATGTTTGTACATATCTGGGGAAAGGGGTTGCTATCCAAGATTCTCATCCTGGACTTGCCGTGGCCTGAGCTCCTAACGCATCTCACAGTCTGGAGCACCCTGGAGCTTGGGAACATCTCACAGGGAGATTCTGGGAAGGGGTGGGTGTGTCATGGGAGGAACAGAGATTTCTGTTTGGTAACAGGGAAAGGGAAGAGGTGAACGTCATCTTCTAGGAGAACTGAAACTCCACCCCAGAACGGCTCATTCCTTTTGGCTTGCAGCTTTGTAGAGGACAGACAAAACCTCAGAAAACTACTGGTTGTAAAGTAAAAAGAATAAATCTTGGGTGATATCATTCCTTCCCCCAGTGAAACAATCCAAGCAGAGTTTGGCCCCAGCTATCAACCCAGAAGGCTAAATCTCCTCTGTCACCTCCACAAATGCCTTGGTGCTTGCTGCACTTTGGGTCCCTCTGCTTTCAGTCCTCAGGACATTGCTGCCCATCATTCTGGGTCGCAGAGAAGAGCCTCCTTCCAGGCCCCACCTTGGTGCCTGTCACATCTCTCAGGGAGCTGATATGGTCAAAGTCAAGAGCTAACGAGAAATGTGCATTGGCTCCTACTTTGTGCTGCCTGGATGGGAAGAGCCATTTAAGACTCTGACTTTCCTCAAAAGGTGGCTGTCACCCCATTGTGTTCTCTCTTGCAGGTAAGTCAGGTGCAAGCAGTCGGGAGGGCTGTGTGGTGATGACACACTTGCCAGTTTGGGAGCAAAAGCCATCACAGTAAGATATGATTGATTCATTGTATCTCAACTCTCATCCGGGGTGGACTTCAGTGTGTGGGTTTCTGTCCCAAAGGAGATTTCTCTGGGTCTGGGAAGGGGATGCTGAGCCCTGGGTTCCTGCTGAGAGTCCCTAACCTTAGTTGGGGGAGGCAGAGGGATGGTGGCTTCTGGATATCATCAGGCCAGGACCTGGCCCCATTGTCTTTGCATGTGGCTTGCACTGGTGCCATGGCGTCTCCCCATGATTGACTACATTGGCTCTGAAGACCTTCCGGCAGCTTCAAATGGCTGAGAGCTGCAGGCATGGGATGGAGGGCTGCAGGGAGCTTTCTGGGACCACATCAGTCCTGCCTGCATCTTTGGAAGACCCCCATCCTCGGTGGCATGCAGCCTCGGCCATTTCCAAACTCATGACATCCTGCCAACCACGTCACCCCTCCAGGCTCTGTCTCTTCCCATCACCTTTGTCCTGCTCACCACCTCACACCAAGTTCCAGACAATGGGGACCAACTCTAGACTCCAGTTACCAGTGCATGTAGGAGGTTGGGCTCTGACATCTCTATAAAGCCACTTTTCCAAGTGACAACTAATCGCTGGAACTAAAATGTCGAAGTTGCACGAGACGCTTACTGGGGGCTCTGAGGCCCAGGATACTGACCTGGACTTCAGTTGGAATCTGCACCCAGAGAGCAAGTCTTTGGCTGCTGTGAGTTTTTCATTAGATCCAAGCCTCTCTAGGACGGGATACCTGCCTTTCTCCAATGTGTGACATCTGGTCATCCTCTACCTTTCACCCCACAGTTGGAAAGAGTCAGAGGAAAGATAGGAGTAGAGGTAAAAGTATCAGGTATGCAGTCAGAAGTTACGGCTCAAATCCCAGCCAGGCAAGTGGCCATGGGCCAGGTTTCCAAGCCTGGTCCAGTGTTAAATGAGATGCCTACTCTCAGATGCCCATTTTTAATTGGGTCTTTAAATATGATGACTCTATTTTCTATTCTTTATATGTTCTAGATATTGCTTCTTTTTCTGAGAGACAAAGATTTATTCCTCATTCTATGGGTTATCTTTTCACACTATTGGTAACTTATTCTGTTGTGCAAAACCTTCTTAAAAGAATGAGATCCCAGTTGTTGATTCTTTGTAGTTCTTTATAGTATTTCCCATGTAATTGAGATTTTGTTCATGAAATCTTTGCCTCCAGCTATGTCTTCAAGAGTTCTAACCATTCTGTCTTCCACCAGATTTAGTGTTTGTGTTCTATTGTCTAGATCTTTGATCTATTTTGACTTAGCGTAGTGCATGGTAATATACATGGGTCCAATTTTAGTCTCCGGCATGTAGATAACCAATTTTTCCAGCACCATTTATTAAAAAGGCTATCTTTCTTCCAGTGAACATGTTTGTCCCCTTTGTCAATGATGAGGTAGCTAAATGTGTGGTGTTGTTTCTCTATCTTCTAATCTGTTCCATTGATCCTCAGGTACACGTTTTATGATCAACTCAATAGATGCAGAAAAAGCATTTGACAAAGTCCAACACCCATTCATAATTTTTAAAAAAACCTACAGAACATTGAAATATAAGATCTTTATCTCAATCTGGTAAAGGCCATCTATAACAATCCAAGAGCTAGCATCATACTAAATGTCCAAAACCTGAAAGCTTTCACTGTAAAAATCAGAAACAAGATAAGGGTGACCACTATCACCACTCCTATTCAATATAGCTCTGGAAATATTAGCCAGAGAATTGAGACAAGAAAGATGAATAAAAGGGATAAGGATAGGAAAGAAAGAAGTTAAATTATCATTATTTGCAGATAACATGGTACTCTACATAGAAGAACCCAAAAACTCCACTGAAAGACTTGTAGAGTTAGTAATTGAATTCAGTAGTGTAGCTGGATACAAAATCCACATTCAAAAATCAGTAGCATTTTTGTTCACCAATATCAAGAGAGAAATTTTGATGCTTCACAATAGCGTTAGAAAAGTGAAATACTAAGGAATCAATCTAACAATGGAAGTAAAAGATCTATACATTGTAAACTGAAGTATTGTGAAAAAGGAGAACAAAGATGTTATCAGAAAATGGAAACATAACACTTGCTCATGGATGGGAAGAACCAATGTAGTGAAAATATCTGTACTCACAAAATTGTTATACAGATTTAATGCAATCCCAATCAAAATACCATTAACATACCTCACAGAACTAGGAAAAACATTCCTAAAATTCATTTGGATACAGAAGAGATCTAGAATAGTAAAAACCATCCTAGGGAACATAGGCAAGGGAAGGGCCATCACTACCCCAACTTGAAATTATACTACAAAGCTACTATGATAAATACAACATGGTACTACAATGAAGGAAACTTTCTTAACTGGATAAAGAACATCTACATTTTTGTGGGGGTACTGGGGATCGAACTCATGATTTTATGGTTGCCAGGTAGGCACATAGCTAATCCCCAGCCCATCTACATATTTTTTAAAAACCTACTGCTAATATCATTTTAATAGTGAGAACTTGAGAAGAAAAAAGTAATGTTATACTAGAAAACTAATAAATGGTATGTAAAATAAGGAGAAAGCAAAACTGTCTTTGATCACAGAGAACATGATATCTTTGTATAAAACTTGGCGAAGTTAACTAACAAACAAGCAAAAATTCCTAGACCTAATAAGGATGATACTACGGCTGCAAGATATAACATTAATGTTTGAAATTTAATTGTTTGCCTGTCTACTAGCAATGAACAAGTGTGATATAAAATTAGCAATGCATTACCATTTATATTAGCCTCCTTAAAGTTGAAATAATTAAATATAATTTTTAAAAATATGTATAAAATTTATATGAGGAAATTTTTTACATTCTTATGAGAAATATCAATGAACTGAATAGATGAAAAGATAGTCCATGTTCACAGATAAGAAGACTTGATATGCCAAGATGCCCATTCTTTACAATTGGATCTATAAATTCAATGTAATCCTCCTCAAATTCACAGCAAGTTATTTTGTGGACATCATTGGGTCAACTGTAAAGTTTTTATAGGAAGATAAACAATCTAGATATCCAATTCAATGTTTAAAAATAATGGAATTAGAAGACTGACCCTAGAAAGCTGCGTGATTTACTACAACCTTTCAGGAATCAAGGTAGCATGACATTGGTGGGGAAAAAAATCAACAAACAGAATAGTCAAAAAGGAGACCCAGAAAAAGGAACACAGGTACAGATAGTATTTCTAACAAATATTGTTTGAGGAATTGTACAGCCACATACAAATAAAAAAAAGAGTGTAGATACAAATCTTACATATTCCACAAAAATGATCTCAAAATTAATTATAACCTTAAATATACAATCTAAAACTAAAAATTCTTAAAGATAATATAGAAGAAAATAAATGACCTTGGTTATGACAATGATTTTCTACATTTTCCAACACCTAAGGCTAAATCCAAGAAAAAAGTTATTTATAAGCTGGTCTTCATTAAAATAAAAAAAACTTTAGAAATTGTAAAGAGAATTAGATGAGTCACCGATTAGGCTCTGTGTTTTGAAGAAAACACATCTGATAAAGGATTGTTATCTAAAACATCCAAAGTCTTAAAACTCAACAATAAGAAAATGAATAAATTAATTAAAAAGAGAGAAAAAGATTTTAATAGAAAGCTCACCAAAGAAGATAAACCAAAAGTAAGTTTATAAAAAAGATATTCACCATCATGTCATTGGTAATGACAGATTACAAGAACTTTAAGATACTACTACATGCTTCTCAGAATGGCAAAAATCCAAAATACTGACAACACCAAATTTTGGTGATGATGTGGAGCAACAATAACTCTCATATTTTGCTGATGGAAACACAAAATTGCATGGCCACTCTGGAAGACAGGTTGGCAGTTTCTCACAAAAATAAATGTAATCTTGCCATACAATCCAGCAATCATGCTCCATGATATTTACTAAATTAATTGGGAAAGCTCAATTCTACCTCAGGCATTAACAAACTCCACATACAGACACTTATAGAAGCTTTATTCCTACGTGCCAAAACTCAGAAGCAATCCAGATGTCCTTCAGTAGATGAATGGATAAACTGGGGTACATCAAACACTGAATACTGTAGTGCAGAAAGACATGAATGAGCTATTAAACCATGAAAAGACCTGGAAGAAACTTAATTGTGCATTAATGATGAAAGAAGCCAGACTGAAAAGGTAGATCCTTTATGATTCTAACTATCATATTCTGGAAAACCAAACCTATGGAAGCACTGAAAAGAGTAGAAATTGCTGGAACTAGCAGGAGGGAGAGAAAGAGTGTTTTAGGACAGGGAAATTAATTTGCATGCTACTGCAGTGATGGTTGCTTATAGTTATGCCCTGTCCAAACCTATAGAATGTACAACACCAAGAGTGAACATTAATGTAAACTGAGGACTCTGTGTGATGACATTTCAGTGCAGGTTTGACCCCTGTGATAAAAGTACCACTGTCAGAGCTCGTTCAGGAACCAGGGAACAGCATATTTTCTGTTCCATTTTGTTATGAACCTAAAACTACTCTAAGATAGTTTTTTAATTAAAAAATAATGAGGTACAATTTCATAATCACCAGACTGATAAGAATTAAGAAATTTAATAAAAAATTAGAATATGGAATGGGAATTCTTTTTTGTCAGTATTGGGAAAGTCAAATGGTACAATCCTTTGTAAAATAATTTGGCAATGCCTAGAAAAGCTGAACTGACCCAGTGATGATCCAACAATATCAGTATTATTTATCTGAAAGGAACTCTTGGACTTAAGAAAGAGACAAGTGGGGCCAGGGTATAGCTCAGCCCTGAAGTCCTTGCCTGACCTGTGCAAGGCCCTGCGTTAGGTCCCCAGACCTGAAAAGAAGCAAAAGAAGGTAGAGTAGGAGAGGAAGGGGAAGGGAGAACAGGAAGAGGAGGAGAAGGAGAAGAGAAGGCAAAAA